TGGCCGCGCGAGGGGACACAGGCGGGTCTTTCCATGGGGTGCAACGAGAGTCTGAGGCTCAATTGCCTGGGGTCTGGTGCAGCCCATTCGCATCTCCAGCCTGACGAGCGCATTCGCGCGCGACGTCCCGTCAACGACATCCTCCATCGCCTTCGCTTCTCCGCTGTTGTGCCACGCGGCTGCGGGCGAGGGTGTATGGGTTTTCTCTCGACGCCAATTGTTTCCCGTCCTTCTGACCGGTGATGGACTCCAGTTGTTTGCGCTTCGACATCCCGTCTCTGCGTCCTTCGTCAGCAAGTGGCCACCGTCGTATGCGTTGAGCCCTTGTCGAACGGTTGCGTCGTCGTGTGCGCTTTGCCGTCATCGAAGAAATGCGCCTCGTCGAAGAATTGTGAGCTGCGCCGTCGTGGGCACTGTCCCCTCGTCAAGGTAAAGTGATGTTCTGCTTGCCCACGTGTCGGTCGTCGGGCATGTTTGCAGGCGCATGGCAGCAGCCGCGTTGCGCCACCTGTTTGAAGTTGCGGGGACGGCGGGAACGGATGTCGCTGATATTGGGCCACATGGTTTCTGTATGCCCCTTTGATTCCCGCTTGTTCTTTCCTCACGAGGGGGCCCATGATTCTTGCTTGCCATCATCATCATCATCATCATCATCGCCATCATCATCACCATCATCCTCACCACCATCATCATCGTCATCATCATTATCATCGCCATAATCATCACCACCATCATCACCACCATCATTATCATCATCATCATCATCATCATCATCATCAACATCATTGTCATCATCATTATCCTCATCATCATCATCATCATCATCATCATCATCATCATCATCATCGTCAACAACATCATCATCAACATCGTCAACGTCATCAACATCATCAACATCATCAGCGGCATCGTCGCCGTCATAAAAAGCACCACCATCGTCGCCTTCGTCATCATCGTCATCATCAACAGCATCATCATCATCGTTATCATCGTCGTCATCATCTTCGTCATCATCATCATCATCATCATGATCATCATCATCATCGTCGTCATCATCATCTTCGTCATCATCATCATCATCATCGACATCATCGTCGTCATCGTCGTGTTGATGACGACGATGACGACGATGATGTTGATGATGATAATGATGATGACGAATATGATGATGACGACGATGATGATGATGATGATGATGACGAAGATGATGATGACGATGATAACGATGATGATGATGCTGTTGATGATGACGATGATGACGAAGGCGACGATGGTGGTGCTTTTTATGACGACGACGATGCCGCTGATGATGTTGATGATGATCATCATCATCATCAGCACCATCGTCGTCCAGATCAACATCACCACCGTAATCATCACCAACATCGTCATCATGATGAACATCGTCAACAGCATCAACATCAACATCAACGTCGTCATCACCATCATCATCATTATCATCATTTCGTGCCGCGTGCCGCAAGTGGCGGGGACAGCGAGAACGGATGACGAAAACATCGGGCCACACGGTTTCCGTGTCCAAATCTGCTTCTCTGTCATTCGTTCCACGTGTCCCATTCTGCTATTCTCTCATTCGTTCCACGTGTCCCAAGCCCTACATTGTAAAACACTCCCGCGTGGTTACCATAGTGAACATTGCAATACACTGCCGCGTGGTTGTGGCAAACACGAAATCGCCTATTCCCAGCAGAACACGAACCCCCCTCGAAACACTTCCCTCACACGTATGTTGTTCTCATGAAACAGATACACGTTGGTTATCACAACTGCGCCAACAAGGATGGGCAGTAGTCGCGGCGGTGTTGGTGAGCGACAAGCGGGTGCCATATGGGTTGCGCGCGACCAGTGTTGGTATTAAGCGTCGCGTGGGCGGCCACGGTGCGAAGGATGTCCGCCGTCCACGTGACGTGCAGTGAGAGGGATGGTATTCATAAAGAGGAGGGGGTCATCGTTCCGTGTTCGTGTTCTCGCCACAACAATTGAGCCTCCCTCCCCGAAGAGACTATGGAGTCAATCTCGGCACAAGCAGGTATGAAAATAGCGCATGATTGCTATAGTTCACCGACATTCGAAGTTCCCTTTTCGGCAAGCTTTCACATGCGACTCTCAGTGTGCAACGAAGTTCGGATCCCGACACAGGGAGAGCACGCGCAGGTATGAAAACACCCTGCCAGTTGTCAGCGTGCGACGAAGTTCGGATCCCGGCGGACTTGTGATCTCAAGCATGTGAAGTCGCGAGCTGCTCAGATAATAATTATTGTTGTCTCGACGACGTCGCTGAAATCGCACGCTTACGGTTTGCATGGATCTTTTCAGAGTCCTGGTTACATGACTGTTCTTTGGGAGGCGGTGCTGCATAAACAACAGTCCTTTCAATGGGACCCCAAGAAAAGCAAAGTGTTTCATGCTTCCGGTCGAATGCGGCAACCGATCTCAAGTTCGGATCCGGGCGGACTTCGTGGTTGGCACCCGTTTGTCGTCCCGTGATCTTGGCTGTGAAACCTGCCATTGCCCGACTGCGAGCTCGCCTTGTCTGCGGTACTAAATTGGGGGTCCACCAGCCAGAGGTCATTTTTTTTTTTTTTGTGCTTGCAGTCATTGCCATCACGGATCAAAACATTTGCGACTGGATCGCCGCAAGTGCTCGCTTTGTCCATGAGGAGAATCGGGGTCTGTGGGGGTCTATTGGGGGCCGCGCTGCGGCGATTTCCGACGTGGTGCACCTGCGACGACCGTTTCTGTTGTGCGTGCTCTCTTGGAACAGAAACTTGTGAGCAGCGGCACGGCCTCCCTGGCCATGCAGCTACGCATAGCGTTCCTTCTGTGCACTTCCACACCCGTCATCCAAATATCCGTCATCCCCCGCGCAAACCGGTTCCTCGCCAGTCCAACAAGCGCCAAGTTCGCATCCCGACGGACTTTGAGGTCCAGCGTAAATTTAACCGCCCTTTTCGACGGTCTCGACTGTCGAGTGTGTTCTGATTACCAGAGGCCTCCAGGTACGCAAAAGTGCTCGCATAAGGCCTGCAGCTTTCGACGGTCTCGACTGTCGAGTGTGTTCTGATTACCAGAGGCCTCCGGGTACGCAAAAGTGCTCGCATAAGGCCTGGAGCTTCAAGACTGTGGGTGCGAAAAAATGCTCAACTTCTGAGATGCCCTTCGAGGGGTTTGTGGGGGTTGCCGACGATGATAGCGGCCATGTCCCTTGTCGGTGTGCCGTGGGCGAGAAAGCCTCCCGAGGGTTTTGACCGTCCAGGTGCGCGGATTCTTGTCGCAGACATGCTCTTATTTCTGCGTGTTGTCCAGTTCGCGCTGTCGCACATCGACACTACCGGCGCGCGATTCGGGGGTCGGCTTGTCGACTGGCCGAATCAGGGTTTGGAGGGGTTGCAGGGGGGATCTTTCATCAATTTGTGCATTTTCCTTGTCTGCGCGGTAGAGATGTCCGAGCTCGATGAACTCTTGCACCAGTAACTCTGAACGGAACACCGCACGTGTTTGTAGGGGTCAGTTTGGGGTTGCGCTGCGCCCGATTTTGTTGTGGTGCATCCACCACTACCCTTTGATCTGCGCGTGTTGTCGTACAACGACAACTTGAGAGCGGCGGAGCCTTCCTTCTGTGTGGCCAAGCATAGTGTTCCTTGTGTGCACCCGCTGGCGCTCCGTTCCACTGACACCGGCCGCGCAAAAACAGATTCTTTGCTACTCCAGCACCGACCAAACTCGAATCTCGGCGGACTTCGAGGGTCCGCGTGAATCTGACTGTTGTCTTCAACGGCTTGGACTTCTCCGTCCGTCTTCAATGCCGGCGGCCTGGTAGTACGCGAAACTCCTCGCCTTGTGAGTTGGCCTGAAAGGGGTTTATTGGGGTGGACAACGGTGTCACTGGCCGGGTCCATTTCCGGTGTGCCGTGGATCTTCGTTCATCGACGTCCCGAAATGCGGTGCGCCCGAGCATCGCCTGCTTCTATGCAAACGCCATCCGCCCGTTCCAAATGCAGGCGAATCCACCAAGTTCGGATCCTGGCGGACTTTGGGGGACGGCGCAAACCTAACCGTCCTTCGCATGACGCCTGGAGCTTCGAGGGTGAGTTGATTGCAAGAGGACTGTGGGTGCGAGAAATTGCTCGCCCTCTGAAATACCCTTCAAGGGGTTCATGGGAGTTGCCGAAAATAAGGGACACGGTCGTTGTCACCGTCGGCAACCCCCACAAACCCCTTCAAGGGCATTTATGAAGGCAAGCAATTTTTTGCATCCACGATCTGTGTTGCCCCCCAATGTTTTTGACCGTCGCGGTGTGCGGAGTCTTGTCGCAGACATGCTTGTGTTTCTGCGTGCTGTCCGGTTCGCGCTGTCGCACGTAGTCGTTCCCGGCGCGCGAATCGGGGGTCGCCTTCTTGACTTCCCGAATCAATGTTTGGAAGGGTTGAAGGGGGGATCTTTCATCCTTTTGTACATTTTTCTTGTCTGCGCCGTGGAGATGTCGGAGTTCGATAAGCTCTTGCACTAGTACCTGCGAATGGAACACCGCACGAGCTCGCTTGGACGATGGTGAGAATCGGTGTTTATAGGGGTCATTTCGGGATCGCGCTGCGCCCTATTGTGTGCTAGTGCATCCACCACTACCCTTTCTTATGCACGTGCTATCGTTCACCGACAAGTGTTCCTTGTGTGCAACCAATGACGCTACCTTCCACTGACACAGGCCGCGCGAAAACAGGTTCCTTGCTATTCCAGCACCCGCCAAATTAAGATCCCGGCAGACTTTGAGGCTCCTCGAAAATCTGACCGTTGTTTTCAACAGCTTGGACTTCCCGGACCGTCTTCAGTGCCAGCGGCCTGGTAGTGCGCAAAAGTGCTCGCCTTGTGAGTTGCCCTGAAAGGGGTTTATTGGGGTTGACGACGCTGTCACTGGCCGGGTCCATTTTCGGTGTGCCGTGGATCTTCGTTCATCGCCGCCCCCAAATGCGGTGCGGCCGAGCATCGCCTGCTTCTGTGCGAAAGCCATCCACCCGTTCCAATACCTGCAGCCGCGTGAAAACCTGTTACTCGATGCAGGCAAATCCACCAAGTTCGGATCCTGGCGGACTTTGAGGATCGGCGCAAATTTATCCGTCCTTCACATGACGCCTGGAGCTTCGAGTGTGAGTTGATTTCGATAGGACTGCGGGTGCGAGAAATTGATCGCCCTCTGAAAAGCCCTTGAAGGGGTTCATGGGGGTTGCCGAAAATAAGGGACACGGCCGTTGTCGCAGTCGGCAACCCCCATAAACCCCTTCAAGGGCATTTTAGAAGGCGAGCAATTTTTCGCGCCCTCGATCTTTGTTGCCCCCCAAGGGTTTTGGCCGTCGCGGTGCGAGGAGTATTGTCGCAGACATGCTTGTGTTTCTGCGTCCTGCGCGGTTCGCGCTGTCTCCCGTCGACGTTCCAGGCGTGCGAGTCGGAGGTCGCCTTCTCGACTGGCCGAATCAATGTTTGGAAGGGTTGCAGGGGGGATCTTTCATCCATTTCTGCATTTTTCTTGTCTGCGCAGTGGAGATATCCGAGTTCGATAAGCTCTTGCACTAGTGAATGGAACACCGCACGCGCTCGCTTAGACGATGGTGAGAATCGATGTTTCTAGGGGTCAGTTTGGGGTCGCGCTGCGCCGAATTGTGTGGTGGTGCATCCACCACTACCCTTTGTTCTGCGCGTGCTTTCGTTCAACGACAACACAACCTTCCTTCTGTGCGCCCAAACATAGCGTTCCTTGTGTACACCCACCTGCGCTCCCTTCCACTAACACCGACCGCGCGAAAACAGGTTCCTTGCTACTCCCGCACCCGCCAAATTCGGATCCCGGCGAACTTTGAGGCTCCGCGTGAATCTGTCCGTTGTTTTCAACAGCTTGGACTTCCCAGTCCATCTTCGGTGCCGTCGTACTGGTAGTGTGCGACATTGCTCGCCTTGTGAATTGCCCTAAAAGGGGTTTATTGGGGTTGACGACGGTGTCACTGGCCGGGTTCATTTGCGGTATGTCGTCGATCTTTGTTGCCCTGCAATAAAAGCAATCGTCACAATAAGTGTGGTTTGGTCACTGTCATGCTTCTGCCACGACGTGCTTTGCGGTTCGCGCAGTAGGGTGTCGACATTGCGAAGGCGCTGCGGTGTCGAAGCCGCGCGGGCTGCAAAGGCTTTGAGTCCGAGTACACAACTTCCGAATCGACGTGCAGTTACTCGGGGTTTGCGGGGGTTGGCTGAGGGTCATTAAGCCATGTTTTCTTTTGTCTCCTGCCTCTCCTAGCCTTCCGTTCGTTATGACGATTGGCCGACAGTTCGTTATGACGATTGGCCGACAGTCAGTTTACTGCGACCCGTTGATAACCGGTTGGCCGTCGATTCGAAATCTGCGAAGTTCGGATCCCGGCGGACTTCTGTGGTCCTCGACAGTTCGGTCGTCCCTTGCGCACGTCTTACTCCTCATATGACACGTCCTGCTGGGCGCAACATACAAACAAAAATGTGTCGATAAATTAACAGCAAAAATTCACGCCTGGCCCGTGGAGTGTCCGGCCCATAACCAAATATAGCCGACCACTTGCAGGCAGCGCGGGGTAGACATCTATTAATGTGGGCCGCATTACAGGCTTCCTCATAAAGACTCACCATGCATGAGTTTGCAAACTATCGAAGAGATGGCATGTTATATGCTGTCCATACTGTCGTGGCCCTCGGCGTTATCGAGGGTCTCATTCGACACTCAAGTGTCGGCTGACACGCGCCTTGAGGGACTTACCTCTCGACGCTAAACAACCGCCAAGACGGTTGCAGTACCTACCCTCTTCAGCTACCTGCGGGAGCGACGGGTGGGTGGGCCAAGGCCCTTTGTAGCAGCTGAGTTCCATCTGCGGAGGCCTTTAAAAAGGTCAAGGGGTTTGACTTTGGCAGCTGCTACGAACTTCATCGTCCAACTACAAAACTATAAAAAGCAAAAAGGGGAGGGGTGTCTCCGTTTTTTATTGGGGCAATTCTTAGCGCCGGAGTCGATGCAAGAAAAAATCGGCTTCCCTTCGGCACATGCATTTCAGGCATTCAAAGGACTTCGATCTCTGCCGAGTTCGGATGTCAGCGCACTTTGCATGTCGCGGTTTGTAAAATCGTCTGTGCCACCCAACTGCCAGACCACGCCTTCCATGTGCGGCAATTTGGCTG